TATAAAATAACATAAAAATTGTATGTTTAAAATATTAAAAACACCTAAATTATTATATAACATATGTAAAGTATCTAAAATTTTATATATCATTATTGAAGATGTGAAGTCACCTAAAATCTTTCTAAACTATTTTATAAATAAAACATGTCTAAAATTATTTAAAAAAATCTTGCCGAAAATATGTTATTCAATTTCCAGAACATGATGATAAGTATAAGTTTGAATTTTAGAATCCACGTGAGTATTATATTTTAGATCCGTATACTATATAAATTATTTATTATGTTAATTTCCTGTGAACTTCATATTGATTTATTGATTTTATTTTATTTCTATACAAAGTTGATCGTCTCATTTTGTTTTACCATATTTTCATGGAGATTTAACAAAGTCGATTGCATTTATAAAATGATTTGGATATCAACATACAATTTATAATGGAGTTTTCAAAATTGTGTACTATTAACAAATGATATATTATCATTAAATATATTTCTTTTAAATACACAATTATTGAGACTGATAATTTGATAATTATTTTACCTTTTGAAACTGAGTATAGAAAAAACAATAGATTGGTAAACAAATAAGTGATAAACATTACCAAATTTATTATCACACGTTCCAAATAAAAAAATTATGATGATTAGTGGAAAATGATATTTAACGAATAGCATTCAATATTTTTTTTTGAAAGGCATAAATATAAAGACTGATATTCTAAAATTTTTATTACCTTTTAAATTGAGATTTTATAAATATAGAGACTGAGATTTTAATGTTCTTCGTTGTTTCTATGAAAAAATAAAATAAAAATAAAAAATGCACACTTAATAGATCTTAGCTAGAATTTGTAAATAATAAAATGAATTAAAGCCAAAAATTTAATGCAACATTAAATGTTGTATGATTTTTCAAAGATAAAAATAAAAAAATAAATAAAACTTACTATTTATAAGTTGCATTAAATTCTCTCCTATTTTGTTCTACTATTTTTGGTAAATAGTAATTCTTATTATTATTATTATATATATATATACATATATAATAAGAATTACCATTTAACAAAAATAGTAAGCAAAAAAATCTGAAAGTATTAATTACATTATATTTTTAGAATATTTTTTTATTTTTTAAATAAAAAAATTAGGCTGCATTTAATGCTACCATAAATTATTTGTTATATTTAAATTCAAAGATTGAAATAAAAAAATTTATCTTTATCTTAGTTACAAATTCATAATAATATATGATATGACAATGGCAACACGTTAGATTAGGGAATAATTTGAATATTTGTCGGCAGATAAAACAAGATTAACGAGATTAAAATAAATTATCTAATTAATTAGTATATGAATAATGAAGATAAATGATTATTCATTTTTGTTTAGTTAGATTTATGAAGAAAAATTTCAATTTTTGCCAATAAGATTGTGAATGGATATCAAATAATATTACTACAAACCTAATAATTAAAATAATATTATTACACATCTGATATTTTAATTTTCAACCATTTTAAATTAATATTTTATTATTTTATATCATATTAATTTTAATAATTATACTTTTATTTTATAGTTTTTCATCATTTGAAAAATTTTCAACAAAATAAAACTTTCGAAATTTCTATATAAGTTTATGTATTATATTCCAATGCAAGGAATAATAATTCTTTCTAAAAAATGCTCAAATTATGTATTTCATACTAAATGCGTTAGCATTTGCGAGTGGATGGATCGGTACAAAATATGATAAAAAAGATATAATCAAAATCACTTGACATGCGATACTTACATATAGACAATAAGATAGTAACAATATAAAACTGGTATACAAGACATATAGACAATATCTACTATGTAAATATTCTCTCATAAAGTTGAACGTGAGATATTAGATTGTATTATTTACTCAAATAATATTTTTGATACTTTTCTTACACATTCAATACTCGCACACATAATATTTTAGATATTTTTTAGATTTTTTTTTTGGTCCATTCTATACATTAAAGTTTATATCTTTAGGTGCTTTTAGACATTTTGTCTTTACAAAATAGTTTAGTAGAAGTTTAGGTGGCTTAACAATTTTTAAGAATAATGTAAAATATTTTAGATATCTTTACATATGTTATTTTAGGTATTTTTAATATTTTAAACATACATGTTTTGTGTTCTTTTGTACATGATAATTTTATATTGTACAACAAACCGATATACGTAAATTATATCACATTTTAATCCTAACGATTTAATTTATTATTAATATTTAATGCTATTTACCTGCTTCTTTAATTTATAATTGTGATTTAATATTATTTTCTCATACATTGCACGGGCTACACACTAGTACATAACTAATAAGAAAGAAAAATTAGTCATGAACAAAACACATGCTTGTGCAGTGAAAAATTAATTATCGTTATGCAGTGTTTTAGTAAATCATGACATTTTCTGTTTTGTATTTTGCCAAATCATTGATTTTATTGCACTGCCATTATCTTCAATTAGCCAACTTTTTTATACGTGTATTAAGATTTATTTCTGAATGAGAATTTCGTCGTCACACACACTTATGATAATGTATTTTATGTGCAATCTTATCATATATACATATATATATATATATATATATATATATAGGATCTGGTTCAAATGAGAACCAAGTCCTAGCGTGAGAACCGTGAGAACCGCTATTTTTAATTGTATGTAGTGCTATGATTAATTGTGTTTTAGTGCTATTTTTAACTAGGATGTATTTGATTAAAAATAGCAACAAAATTTTTATTAGCATTTATGAAAATGATAGCACTATGTAATATTAAAAATAGCATCATACACAATTAAAAATAGCATCAAATGTGGTTCTCACGGTTCTCACACCAGACATAGTTTTTATTTGAACCAGCCCCTATCGGTGCGGCGGTGTTGGGCGGCTTTGGGCAGCTTCCAGGCAGTCTTGGGTTGGGGCTGGGGTCGTGGCACTCCTTTGTCCGTCCGTGGCAATCTGGTGTAGTGGCCGTGGTACGGGGTGGCTTGGTGTGGTTCTGGGGTTTCGTGTTTCGACGCCGTTAGGCAACCGAGTGGTTTGGGCAGTTTCGGGGTCGGTACACATAGCTGTGGATTCACAGTCGCCTTGTTTCCGCTGGTTCGGTTAGGTGTAGCTACTTTGGAAGGGCTTGGTTAATTTTGATGCTTTGGTTTGGTTTGGTTTGGTAGCTTAATATTTTGTATGTGTTGAGTCTGTGTGATTTTTGGTCTTGTTTTTTAGGTTTGGGCCGTTGGCCCCGGTTCTGATTCCCCTGTGGGGGGGGCGTTTCATATTCTCCTGTGGGGAGCGTTCGTAGTTGGTGTGTTGGTGTAGTTGTGTGTTGTGTGTTTTATTTTCTAGCGTGGCTAGCGAGGTTCTAGGCGGTTTCGACCCGTCCTCCCAGTTTTTAGTTCTTGGTTGTAATATTCAGCCTTGGGCTGCTTTCTTGCACAGTTGTGCGTTTTCATATATAATATGCCTATCGTTTCGTCAAAAAAAAGAAAGAAAAAATGAAATGCACGTTAGAGCTGTAGAGGGTTTAGAGAGCCGAGGAATAATGAATGATAGGAGGACATATTGAACTGTAGAACTTTAGCCTATCATTTTTAGTTAAAAGTTTTGGTTGATATAAATGTTTTGTCCATTATTATATCAATAAATTTCGTTATTTTATAAGTTCATATAATTATTAAAAATGGTGTATCCAACACCTTCTATTTATATTTTTTATTTTAACATTGTTTTTAAGATTATATTTGATAATTCCATATCTATTCTATTTTATATTTTCATATTTACGAATGGTTAGGAATTTGGAGTTATGAAGGTGTAGCTGGGACACATATTGTGTTTTCTGGCTTATGCTTTTTGGCAGCACATTGGGTCTATTGGATCTAGAAATATTTTGACCGATTTCTATTTGAATAGAATTCCTTAACTGTCTTCAAAAAGATTAAGTCATATACTCTCAACTTAGTGGGGGAGAGTTTTGTCTTAGAGTTATAGTCCTTGTTGTTCTGTTAGCTCCACTCACCCCGCTTCGTTCCCTGCTTTAGCTTCTTTGTATGGTTCGTTCCCTGCTTTAGCTTCTTTGTATGGATTCTTCGGTGTCTCGAAGGTGTATGAGTATTTTTTTTCTCTTGTTCTCTCTTAAGTGACTTGACCTGGGAGTCTCCAGCGACTTCATTGCGCAATTCGTGTCTTAAACTGTGGCTATATTCCTGTAGTATTGTCTAGCATTGCCGGTTGAAATCCTATATTTTTATAACATCAATAGTATCTTTGATTTTAGTTTTCAATTTTTTAAAAGTGACTCTTAGATGTAACCAAGCAGATATGACTGTTTTTTAGTGGTGGTTTATATGAAAGGATCGTTTCATTATGGGTCGTTAGCATTTTCCTACTTTTACGTGGCATTTAGTGAAAAAATTTCTTTGTCTAAAACAAGTTAACAAATCCATATATATTGAAAAAGAGAGGTCAATAAATCATTTGTGGAAACTTTTAAAAAACTGGTCAACAACAACATTGACTTCCCATTTGGGGAAATCAATTAAAAAAATCAAAAATTATTTATATTTTGATTTTCTTTTTATTTTAAATCATTCCAAAACAGAATGAGGCAAAAAAACAGAATACTGGAATCATTCTAGTATAAATAATTTGGCCGGATTTTGTTTCCAATTATTCGGGAAACCACCGGATTTTCTCAACTATTAAATCATAGGAATCCCAATTTTTAGGTAACAAATTTAGAGATTTTTTTGGTGAGACTGTAATCGTACGACGCCATTGTGTGGATTTTCTCGGTACTGTTTGGAAGATTTTGTGAACGGGAAATCTGGGTACGGCTTTTGCTTTAAAATTTTTCGCTTTTTTATCTCCTGCTACAATTTCTTTCCACCGTGCGTTTTACCTCTGCTCTGCAGTGCACTTCATTTGGTTTGCATTTTTTTTTCAGGCTCAATTCTATTTCGAAGAAGGTATGTGGCAGTATTCATCTGCTTTTGGGTTCTGCTTCGAGTGCCTTCTTCTTCGCCCTTTGTGTGTATCTTTATTATGTTGCCTTTTATTTAAAAAAAATTGGGTTTTTTGTTTCAAGAATCGGGTCGTACTGGCGCTCGGGCTTCGAAGGTCTGGATCCACTCCAATGTTCCGTTGTTTGATTATGAAGGGTTTGTTCTCAATTATTCTTCTGTTCGTTTATTTTGTGATATTTCAGGAAAGGTGTACAAAATGCCTCTGTATGGAGAGTATGGAAGGTCTGCGCATGTATGCGTGGATTTTTTTTTTCTTTTACGGGGATGTTAGACTCAAGGGGTGAAATTATTTAGAGATGAGACTAACACGAAATCCTTCCATGGCCTGTTGGTCAGCACTCACCACCTTTTTTTCTCCCAAATTTCACATTATTAGTGGCCACGTTTTCTGATTTTCCATTGCTATTTGGAAGGACAACTCCTCCATTTCCTTGGAAAAGGAACTGATAAAAACCTCAAATTTCCATTCTTAAATTTATAATATTTTTACATCATCCTCTCTCTTATTTCTGCAATTTCACGTGAAAGTTGTAATCGTTTTGTTGAAATATACTTAGAGAGTGGAATGGGCTTTCTTTTACCTTTTTTTTTTTGGGTTGAATGTACAGATCCACTGGCAGCTCTTCGTGTTTTAGGAGCTTTAGGTATGTTTTCTGATTTTGGAATGTTAAGTGCTATGGAACTGTAAGTTCAAGTAACATCTTATGGCATTTACTAATGCAAAGAGACCTAATTTAATTGCATCATGGGTGTCTCGATGTTTCAGGCAATGGTTGTGCCCGTGTTTGATTCGATGGCGGAGGATCTGAGAATGGTGTGTATCGACGGCAGGACCAGGAGGTACGAGTGGAGGGTATCGTAGTTAAAGGCGCTCCTCGCGATAACCACCCGCCATGAGATAACTTTATAGGTAAAGTTAATTGAGATCCGGTCCACAAGTTAAGAATTGTTTGTGTCCTTTTCCTTTTTGAGAAAACAACACAATAGCAAGTCACTTTATTTAAGGGGAAATTATATTATTTTCACTGTTACCTGTAGATCACTTGTGGAGGTGGCTGCAACCGGCGAAAAGTAGCAACCTTCTTAAGCGACTACGGTTCACACTGGACGTGATTGGAGAAAAAGCCCTCAGGAGAATAGATTTCAGTTTGACCAAATGGAATTTACCAAACCCGACATCTAGATATGAGAGGTCCGTCGTCACTATAACAGCATTTGTTTTTCCTTCTCAATTCCGACGCACAACCTTTGAATTTTTCTCATTTCTTTTCAAAAAAAGAAAACAAAATCTCCTCAATTTGGCGTAACCATTTATTTGATTTCCTTTTAGAATCTTGAATATAAATTGGCTCTGACCATTTCATTTTGAGTTAATTTTCGTTCTTCAAAAGTTCGAAGGTTTTGAGTGGACAGAGATTTTCGGGGCTCAGCTGATCATTGATTGGCAGGACCTGAAATCGCTGTTAGAGAAACTAAGGAGTATCGGATTGTATAAGGGCAGCCTAAAGGGAAAATGGGATCAAAAGTTTTTGGTGCAATACTGATGGGCTAACTCAAACTGCAAAGGTGAAGTTTATTCAGTCGATTGTTTTTTTTTTTCTTTTTGGATTTTTGCTTTTAGTTTCTTGTGCGAATTCGATTTATGTGAAGGAATTGAGATCCTGTGGCAAGTTCTGCATAAGTATGGTTCGTTTAGTAGTTTCAGATCAATTTTGACATAAAATTTTGGAAACCATAAGTTTCCTTAGTCACTTGGGGTCAAGTTGTAAATGTGTATGAGTTTAATTTTGGTTAGCTAGAGCTGAATCTATCCATCATTGGTGGTATATGACTTTTCTCAGCTTTGTTTGATGTTATGATCGTGTCCCTGGCCTTAATTCATATAGTGCAAATTTTTTATCTACGTAGATTAGGTGATAAGTGTAATGGTTTGTTCAATATTTTTGTCTGATATTTTTTGGGCTTGTTTGCCATATGATAGTGTTTAATTTGATGCATAACGTCCGTAGGATATGAAAGACATGACAACTTGCTATGACAGCTTGCTTTCAGCTTCAGCTGCCGCAACAACAAATATTGCTTACGGTATTTTATTTAATATTTTGGATGTACTTTTTGAACTTGCAATTCCTTTAGTCTGAAGATTACGCTCTAAATGAGCAATGTAATTGAGATTGTTAATGAGATTCCAGCTTCATGTAACCTTGCTGTGAGAAACTTAAAAGTCGATAATGGTAGTGAACATTATGGATACTTGACTATGTCTTTTGAATTTACTTTATATAATGCAATATGGTTATAAGTATATAGAGCTGTTATACCTTCTGTCTCAAATAATTTAACTTAGCCATGAACTTCATAACTTTTACTTTTCAGAATTTCCGGAGTCATTGCTGGAAATGGGCAATTGTCTGTTGAAGAAAACTGCAATGCATGATGATGGAAAAAGTAGTAAGTGAGGCAAATTATACTACTTCCGCAAGCTGTTGTGCTTATTTTTACCTGCTAAGTATTATAAGGATATTTGATGCGAGCCTTATTGAGTTTTTAGATCTTTAGTTTAGATTTTTGTACCATGCCACATCGTCCTCACACGAGTCAAAAAGATTTATAATACGTGCCTGTTTGAAGCATTAATCCAACTTTTTACGTTGTTATTTGTATTGTTTCCCACCACATGATATTAATTCCATCATTTTTCAACATGAAATGAAAAACACATGTATATGTCAGCTGGATCATTCCAGGATAATACACATTATGAATTTTTCATAAAAACAGATACATTGTGTAATATGTATGGAAACTGCTTTCATAAAATCACTTTAATTCACAATTACATATTTAAAACCGTATAATACTATTATTCGACATTAGTTCATACCTTCCATATCCATTAAGTGAGCTCTTCAGCCAATCATGTTACTTTGTTTATGTTCTTTGCAATGCCGAATATACAACATGCAAAACAAAAATATGTTTTGAATAACTTGAACAGACTTATTACATTTAAAAAAAAAAAAATTGTAAATATGTAATAAATTGTAGGATTTTCAAACATATATATAATGTTTAAAACTCAATAGTTACTCAAATAATAACATATCATCGGTTAAAACATTGCAGTTCCACATAAGAAAAAAAAAATCATATATGCCTGATTGCTTCATTTTGGACCGTGCGACTATTTTGACTTCTTTTCGATTGTCTGATTTATTAGGACCGTGCGATTAGTTTGACTTATTTTCAATTGTCCGTTTTATATATAAAAAATTTCATTGTTTTTAAAAATTTCAGGAGTCAGAAACAATCCTTATCGCATATTGACATCTTTCTTAAGAAACATGTGTTTAGTTACAACCAGTTGTATGTTGTTGTCTTCCGTGTCATTAATCGAAATGGTTGAAAATCTTAATTTGTGGCGACGACGTGCCAAATAATCAAACCATGAATATTGTATATAAAGAAATGTTTAATAATATATGTATTTTGTTTTCATTATCTTTAGTAATGTCATGATCGTTCCTTTATTATTTAGTTTTAATTTGAATAAAAAATTGCCTCTTAAAAAGGACAAAATAATATAACCCCGTGCATCGCACGGGTACTGTAGTAGTTATAAATGAAGTTTGAAGTACACTAAACTGGAATGGGTGTTAAGAAATTAACATTTAAGAGAGATTGAATAAGCATTAACAAATTTGAGAAATAGATTCCTACGCTCTATATAGAACAAAGAGGTATTGGACGGGAAGCATATTGAGTCACATATTTATAGTTTTTAAAATCTAAAATAAAACTAGCGTAATTGAAATTAAGTTAATAGTTTTTAAAATCTAAAATAAAACTAGCGGAATTAAAATTGAGTTAATAGGCATTAGGCATCACGTAGCAAAGTTATAAGAGACGAATATTGAATGGCAGAATGGGGTATTAAAACTTAAAAGAAGAAAAGAACTTAGAGCATCTTTAACAATATTTTCCCATAAACCTCATTTTACACTTCCCTCTATGCCACATCATCCAAAACCAAATAAATAAAAATGTTTATTTAAAAGAAAAACGAGAGTAGAGAAGCAAAAGAAAAAAATAAGGTTATGTGATATGGGATTGGGCCCCACGTGATTTACGCACAATTGGGAGCGTGGAGAGCACATCTGTAGTTTTTTCACTTAGTTGTAACTGCACCACCACATGACTTTTCTTTTACTTATTTTTTTCTTTAAATTATTTAGAGGTTTAGATGAGGTTTCTCTGCACAAACCGGCTTTGTAAACACAAAGCTCAAACCTACCCATTATAATGGAAAACCTAAGGTTTGTGTTTTTAAACCTCATTCAAAATCTCTTTGTTAAAGATGCTCTTATAAAAGAGGTCTTGAATGGCGTTAATATCAAAGTCACAAAAAAGGAGTATAGAGAGAAGTATTGAAACACATCTATATATATCTATACTAGTTGTCTCACGCCGTGCACGCACGGCTACCTCAAATTTAATCTAAAAATATAGTGAAATTTGTCATCACTTACAATGATCAGTTGAATTCATGACCAATTTTTACACTAATTGTTAACAAAATAAACTTTCACCATAAAGGCCTCATTACACAACTTTATGGGCAATTGTTGCAGCTCAGTTGTTGTTGCAACTCTTTACATGTATTATGTCTATTAAGTTGACATTGTCTCAAGATCCTTTGTCATATTATTGCTATTATTCCCAACACATTTTCTTTACATATACTATGCATGTTAAGTTAACATTGTCTCAAGATCCTTTGTCATATTATTGCTATTATTCCCAACTCATTTTCAAACAAACCTTAAGCGCCATAGATTAAATGTGCAGATCCTAACCATCTCTTCATTTACCCAAAAAAAAAAAAAATAGTTTAGAATACGTTGCTACAAGATTTGTGTCACAGTTTTAGCGAAGCAACTGTCCATGGTTCTTGACATCCCTAAAAATGATTTTTCAATCTTATTAGTATCTCAGTAACAGCCATCCATTCTCATCCTAAATCCCGCAATCACATTGAACCCCTGCCGCAGAAGGTAAGAAACCACACACCCACCTGCATATTACATGTCGGTCGTACAAGCACAACAATATTAAATTTTTATTTTTCCATCAGTAATATAACCTAAAACCAACAATTCATGTGGTACCACAAACACTGCAGGCCCACATTAATGTTTAGAAAAAAAAAATTAGAATCCGCTGATTTCTTTAAAGCACTTATTTTGCTTTACACAAATTGCGCTTGCAACTGAGTATTGTTTTTCCCCTGAAGATTGCTACAAAAGAATTTAAAGGCCCAAAATTACATAAAATTTACCTCAGTGTGTTATTTATTTGATTTATATCAAGACAAGCCATGTAAAAGCAGCTCGTAGAAAAGAGAAATCCTTCTCGTAAGTCCGAAAATAGTGGTAAATCCGAGTTGCAAACAGCCCCCAGCGCACTTTCCCAACAGGATGTGACAAGAACATGCAAATGATCCACATATTGAAGCAATTTCTTATCACGTCCTGTGGGAGAGTGGGAGAGAACCAGAGTATTTAGTACAGGTGCAACTCCTATATTTTGTTGAGAAAGTTCAACACATGCATATTCGTTTACCCGTATCCAAAAAAATGAATCTTTTAAAAATTAAAATGAAGATCTGCTAAATGAACACCTGAGGGATTAAATTGACTTAGGGCTCTTGCAAAATAAGGGATGAGCAATCAGACTATCTCATACATTCTAGTAAAATAAAAAAAAATCTACCAGAAATCAAGTTGTTCGTTGCTTCGATTTTAGTTCAAGTTCAGGAGCGTAAATTCATCCAAATAATGGAGGTTTTTCAGTTCCAGTAAATATCATGGTTCAGTTTTGGGCTCAAAGGCATATATGGATGTTACTATAAAATGTGAACTTGAATAGTAAATCTATGATACATGGCAAAGACAACCTTCCTAAAAGCAATTAGATCTACCAGAGGCGACACATCTTTCTGCTTGTAACCTTTGTTCAAACCACTAAAGCTTGTTGTATCATGAATACTATCAACATATCTTGCTAATTATTCTTTCTTCTCTTTCGATGCGTAAATAAAAAATATTTAACGAAGAAAAAGAAGCCCGATGAGGTTAGTCATTACTATTTGTACAGCATGTCAAAAAATTTTCTCCTCCTCCAGTTGAGTTCTTCAACAGCTTTTAGAGCTCCTGGACAACAACAGATAGAATGCAACCGTTAAACATACAAGTTGAATAGGTGCAAGTAAAATGCAAACACATGTATATACTGGTAACAAGTAAAATATGGCTCATGCCTCAATGAATTTGTTCGAACACTCGCGAAATACCGGCCAAAAATGTTGGGTTTAGCTTGAGTAAATCATCCCTAATCTCAATGATATTCTTCAGGAGCTAGCAAAAATTAATAATCAAACAAAATAAATTGGCAGTTGGATGTGGTCTTATGTAACTTGTATGACTTATATCTTACTCAATTATTTTAGCTACCAAATTGACATGATTTGCTCATTACATCTTTCTTTGTCTATAAATAAAATAGGATAGCAAAAATATGTAAAGGACTTATAACTTACCCTATGATAGTAGCCAACAAAAGCACCCTTGTGGAAGAAATATTATACAATCATACAATCAAGAATGTGAGCAAGGAGTAAGAACGAATTGTGCACATCGTGCAGAGTTACCAATTCATAAAACTTATTCAGATTCACACGCACTTAGCCTTCGAGCATGAGTGCATTCAGTATTCATTAGCTGCAATAAGGGTATTTTGGAGTTAGAAGCTCCATGCAATTTCTACAATTTCTAAATAACTGAAGCTGGTAAGATAATAAGGAAATGCAGAATATGTTTGTGATGCTCACTTCTTTCACTTTCGTATCTTGAACAAAAACAACATCAACCTCAGCATGATCTAATGTGGAATCAACAGCTCTCAGGCCTATCATAATGAAAAAATAGGTGGGAAAATACTGAGGATAAATTATTTCTAGAATTTACAGAAAAATAATCCAACAAAAATGTCAGTACCTGATCTAATGATCTAAAGAGCTGTAATTGTTCTCTATTCTCAAATACTTCCTCTTGGACTCAGGCGGCGAACCACCATAGGCTGGCTGTGGAGAAGAATAGTTGTACCACGAATGAACATACGACTGTGGATAGGCATTATTACCCTGCGAACCCGAACTCGACGCATAAGATGAACATCGATCTCTGATCGACCTTTTCGAATGCTTGCCACCCATCAACTTTTGAACCTGATAAATGATATGAATAACAGAATAAGCATCCCGGTATCCAATCCTATGTTATCAGCACTTTCTAGCACCATATATACATAAGTACACACATGATAGCTCAGCCCAAAAAAAAAAATCTAATCATGAAATAATTCAAGAATTTCAATTAGTTTGATTTGCATACGAAATTCTCTATAAAGCAGACATCATGGATAAATCCGAATGTAATAAATTTCCAACGCCCATCACTTAATTCAATGGGCAAATTCATATGCAAAGTACCCAAAAGGTACAATCCACAACATGAGAACATGATACATACACCAACTCAATTGATGAAAAACCCAGCAAAATCACATTACATTACAACCCCAACCTTTTAAGACAATTATAACTGAACCAAAATTAAATGGCGGGATAAAATCTAAAAGCTGACTTGAACCTTGGCCTTCACTTTATCGATGGTCTCATTTCTGTTGATCTCGACCGTGATCATTTTTCCTATGAGGGGTTTCACGAAAATCTGCATTTCTCCAGTGAGGGGTTTCACGAAAATAAACATATTTTTTTTTCTGTACGCTTAACTGCTACATAGCTTTCTCAAAATTATCGTCCGGGCGACTGGTCAGCCAGCGGTGATGACCCGATATCCACTCATAGATGTCGGATCTGCATAAGTTGCTCGAATCTCGAGGAATTCCACCGCAGCTAGTGAGAGAGGAGGTGCCGGAACACGACTTTATGGCACCGTCGATGGCGAGGATATCGCCTCCTTCGCGGTGCACAGGAGGGACGGGAGGACCCAGAAGAAGAAATATCTTCGAAGGTTCAGAGCTCATTGAGGACGACTTCAAATTTGACGGCCCCGTCTTTGCCAGCCGATCAGATTCTCCCCATATCCGCCATTGCCTGAATTTATAAATTTTTCAAACTTCTTCACTGATGCTATACAAAATTTTAAAAAAATAAAACAAAACAAAGATAATTAACATCAATGAAACAAAAGGTAAGAAAATTTGGAAAATGAGGAGAGAAAATAGAACCCCTACGAAATTGACCAAAATACTCTTAGAAACATAACTTATCGGAGCAAGCTCGTCGGGTATAGAAACACCGAGCATCTCGTTGACGGAGACTCTGAGCACCGGCTACGATAGGAGAATACGCAGTCCTCGACGATTAGGCGACGACGGCAGCTGAGTGGTCATATTCTGCTGGTGAATTCTCGTCTCCACTCCCTCCTCAAAGCACTCTTCATCACTCGAGTCCATGTTCACGCTCTCCCTCTATAACTTCCACCACCGTCGCCGCCTCCGCCTCTCGATCTCTCAAACTGACTTTCTCCTTCAACACCATCATTTGTTCAACCTCATCTGCGAAAAACTTAAAAAAAAATTACCCATCAACATCAAAGCTTCACAAAAAGGCGCTTGGAGAAACGAATCACGATCTGAATTCAGAAATATTACCTGATTAATCCCTGAGAGTGGCGATCCTCTGCCTTCTCCTCGGCGCACTGTCGATGGTAGTGGACGACGAAAGGTTGTTGGGGGAGGGTGGTATTGAGGGGAGGTAGGTGTGTAGTCGAGGAACTGCAAGTGAATCAGATGAAAGAGAAGAGCTCCGCAGGTAAGGGTCGAAATTGAAGAGCAGAACGAACAATAGCGTTTCTTCACTCTTTCAGCCTTTAGTCGGTGGCGTGTGCCCTTTAGTCGATCGCGTGTGCGGAAATATAGGAAAAGCAACTATCATATCATAGATTTAATTACAATATTATCCTCAAAATATGACATTTGGAGGACAATATGGTCAACTAAAAGCTGCACCAACGTCCATCACTGAAAGCTGGGGACGACCAAGGGGTCAAAGAGTCACGTGGTAGTCACCACTCATGAATGGGGAAGAAAACAACAGGCACATCTAATTGACGAAAATAACCCCTAAAAGTATAGTCAATGAAGGCAATTTAGTCAATTAAAAAAAAGTGGCAAAAACGTAAATAAAGTAGGACACGTGTCAATTTCTTAAGAGCATTAAACTGGACACGTGTCGGCTAATGAGGGTATATCACTTCTTCATATATATATACTACTAGTAGTCTTACGCCGTGCACGCACGGCGGACTCAAATTTAGTCTAAAATTACAGTGAAAAATTATCATTAGTAGTAAAAATCAGTGAAGTTGATGTCAAATTTTTACACTGGTTGTTAACAAAATAAACTTTCACCATAAATGGCTCATTACACAGGTTTATAGGCAATTGTATAGGCAATTGTTGCAGTTCAGTTGCTGAAGCTCTCTACATATATTATGCCTATTAAGTTGACATGGTCTCAAATGAACAAAGGCAATCACATTCCTTACTGCAAACAACCCAAACACACAAAGAAGTCAATGAAAATCGACACCCCAGAATCAAAAAAGAAACACACACATAAAAAACATGACCCAAACACACAGCGAAAGAACAAAATGTACCGCAAAAAATATGGCGAGAGATGCAAGCACGAACCTGCTCTCCGTGACACTGACAACAGGCACAGAAAAGAGAAGAACTTTTGTTTTCTTTTGGAGCAGCAGGTCGACAGCAAACCGAAGATCTTCGCACAAATCGAAAAACCAAGAAATGCGGTTATTTCACTTAAATACTCAGTAAACAAAATAGAAGCAAAATAACACAAAAAAGATATATATATATATATATATATATATAATATAATATATAATTTGTGGACATAAAAGAAAATAGGAACCACAGAAAGACACAACTTAGAAATCAAAATGTTGCTTCCCACTTCGTTATCTGTTTTTCCATACAAGTTGCATCAAAATCATAATAAAACTGTTGGTGCATCCATAGTATACACAGACAATTCCGTAAGGAAAGTTCAGATTCACCAAACTAAAAATTGATTTGAGCTCGGCACTGCGAAGCAACAACTAACAAAATATGAGAAAAATATTCCATTTTCATTCTCAGTATTATGTTACACCAGCATTAACATTGCGAGTGTCAGATGAAAAAATGATAAAAAATAATAATAATATAAAAAAACGAAACAAAAAGGCAGTAGAGTTTACCTAGAGAAAAGCAACAACGAACTTAAGCTTAAACAGATGTCAATTCGGTGATTGTTGGTATGCTTGCAGAAGTACTTGAGCTGGTCGAGCGGGAATGCCGGTGGCGGGGGTCGATTAAAATCTCGCACGACGAGGCAGAGAGAAGAGGAGTATCGGTGGAGCTGGCGGCAAAGGTCGATTTTCACAGAAGAGGAGAGGAGCAGAAGCGGAGGTTGATTCACACAGAAGATCCAGACAGTAGAAGAGCATCATGAAGACAACAGCTAAGATAGATAAACAATCACGCACGGAGAGGAGGATTGGAGGTGCCGGTACAAGAAGTCCATCGGAAATGAGAGGAGCGAGTGCGTGAAAATGAATAAGCGAAACGTGAAAATTTAGGTAGGTGAGGGCTGATAGGGTTTGGTGTTAGACCACATTCGTAACTGCTCATTGAATATTTGCATTTTGGTTTACACCTGTTGCGATTGAATTTATCAGCTTAGATGTTTTCTAGGCAGGGAAAGAACTAAAAGTAAGGAAAATGATCGTTTCACGTGATAGAATTTGAAACTTACTGAAGCACGCCATGTTGGGACCTTCGACTCAAACCGTTCTTCATCTTCTTGGAACCCATTCATCCTGTTGTATGTCCTACAAACCAGATAAAGTAAAAAGAAAATGGTCCGATAAGCATTCGCGCCAAAATGTTCCAGAAAAATCAGTAAATCACTGTTAAACTTTTAAATCGCAGACTGTACCAATGGTCTGAAACTATCCACATGGCCCTTACCAGAGCAGACTCGTCATGACCATTAAAGGTTTCTGCATAAATTCGTGAAGCAAGCCACAAGGTAAAAAAACCATAATATTATTTTTTTTTCTAATCAACATTAAAATTTTCATAAATCTTATATCAAGAGGCGACAAATTAAACCTTGTGCCAGATGTTTCATCTCGCTTTGTGTCTAAAATTTATCTTTGGCCCACGTAATCGCCTCATCTACTCTGTTGGATTCATATGCAGTACCACCTCTGTTGTCGGAATAAATCTAGATAATATATGAGTTCATGTCATCATCTTCATACCCCTCAAAACAAAAAATCCATCCTTCATTTTTACCTCCTCATCTGAAGTAATGCTTACCGAAGAAACTGCCGATAATAGTGAGTTGAGCTTTAAATCATCTGGAAAGCTATCATTTGATACGGGATGAAGGCTGGCCATCTTTGGAGACATGTTTCGTCAGCTTAAATCGGAAGTGTAGCCTTTTAAGTTGTCAGTGTCGGTGTCGTAAACTGGCCAAGCGGCTGCAAATGGCGGCATCATAGACCGCTGTTTTTCGGGTTCATATTCATTATTCTTAAAGCCCACCAAGACCTCACACATTTATTGGCCTGTTAAAAACAATGCACCAGAAAAATAGATATAATCATAACAAAACCATGCAGATGACTACCAGAGGCATAGAAATGAGATAAAAAATCAAATACTTAAGTAACTTGTATTTACTTTTTTTTGGAAATTTGGTTTTTTTTCTAAAACTTCGGATATTTCCCCCTTAGAACCTAGTTAACGTCTGAATGTTAAGCCTGATCTTTCATCTTTTCCTGGTTAAGGTTGACGGTAGCATGTTCGTAAAGAGCTTCAAATATGCAGGCCACAGAAATTCCAAGAATGGAATTGCACAGTTACAAATTCATGAGATTTTGTATGAATCTCACTAAGTGAAAACAGCATGGACTACGCTTCACAGAGAATCAAATAAATTGCATATATATAAACACATAAAAGTAATGGAAATATACACACACACACTCACACACACACACACACACAAACACACACACAAAGTAATTAAAGAAGAATGAAGTTCAATGCCCTTCCAAAATATGCAGCTTAACTTCACTGCCAATAAATAAGAATCCTATTCTCTGCTTTCAATGTCATTCACCATCTTTATCAATTATCAATAAAATAAGAGAATTAATATCGAGTCACCAAATAATAATCCTCATTAGTGAATTCCTCTAAACAATAATCAGAACATTACAGAAACCGCAATTTTTTCTGTCAATCCTAAATGAAACAACCCTGAGATTCAAACCAAAGATCACTTTTTTTCACTCTACTTTTGCAAAGAAGACTATGCAAGCACAACCCCAAAACCTCTCTATTACTTTTCTTCCATTTTTTGTCTTTTATATTTCCCAACACAGGCACAAAGAACATATCTTTGCATTCTCAACATGTGCACAAAGAACATACCTTTCCAAAAAACCAAGAATCCCATTGTCTCAATCACAGGAAAATAGTGGTTTGGATCGAAAGTCCGTCTCGAAATAGTAGATAATTGTCCACATGATATGAGCATACCTTTTACATAATTACTTATACCACTGTTAAAATTTCTTGTTTACTATGCACATTCCAAATGCCAATAAACAAATGCTAATCTGTAAAATTAAGCAGATAAGGTCACTTGACAGTGATATTAAAGATTACCTGATCGATTAAATTATTGGGCAGCAAAATTTACTTTGGCTCGGCAGCCACGAAGACGGTGATTGGGGAGAATGGTAAACAATGAAGAAAAAAAAGTATGCCCAAAATCATTCTAATGTAAATAATCTATAATGTATAAAAGGTAAGCGAACAACTTACATTCTTATTTTGCGGTAAGGTACGAAACACAGACAAATCACACCCGCACATACCACGAACAAGCAATCAAAACCTGTAAAAGAAGAAAACCAAGATATAGAAATGCCTTTGAGAAGTTTGAACGCAGCACAAAAAAAATTGATTATGCTCTAGCCAACACACACAAAACACAATAAAATGCAAATAAAATGAAAAGCCAATTGCAACTAGTACAAAAAAAATTATAAAAAAAGAAGATTCTGCAGAAGAAGTACAAACCCTATGTCGTGTCGTCATCGTCGGAGGCGTACCATCTGCACCATTTCCTCATTGGATCGATCTTCACCTGACACCAAACAGCGTGATCTCGCCCGCGCCAGATCCACTTCCCCCACCACTCGCGGTGTCGGGCCACCAGCGGTACAGAGTTTGGGTTAGGCATCCACCAACCGTTGTCGATTGAAAGAAAAAGGTGCAAGATTGGGATAAATTTGTTGGGGAAAAAAAGAAGAAAGAAAGAAATAGAGACCGAAGATGGAAAACGATGAATTTGGAGGGAGTATTATCTTTCGATGTCGCGTGTGCACAAAAATGGGAAAAGTGGCCTTTTGCGTGGGCAGAAAAAAGGGGACGTGCGAAATCCATGTTTTCTGGCTCTGCTTTTTGACTCTTTGGAAAAAGTGAGCAGAAATTGAGGAATAAATTAGTTAAAAAAAAAAAAAGGGTAATGAGGGGAAAATGTAACTGAGGGGTAGCAGTGTAAAATGAGGCCAAATGCAGGGCATTTTTGTTCCAAAAAAAGGACACGTGTTGCATTTTGAAGGCAATGAAAATGGACATGTGTCACCATTTGAGATAGGCTCACTTGTTCTTATATAGATAAGAGAGACTAGTTGGGTCACGCCGTGCACGCACGGCGGACTCAAATTTAGTCTATAAATACAATGAAAAGTTTTCATTATTTGTAATGATCAATGGAGTTCATGTCCATTTTTTACACTTGTTGTTAACAAAATAAATTGAATTTTCACCATAAAGGCAAGCCCATCTTCACCATAAAAAGATAACCCAAAAACAAAATTTTGGAATATATTGGTACAGGGATTTTGAACAAGCGTAGAAAGTCTAATGGGTGAGACATCGAGTGTTTTTCTTTATTTTTGCTGATTTTTCCTCTCTCTCAGCAGCAAAGAAAAAGGCCTCAACTTAGATTCAGTGTAGTAAATTATTTTTGCGTTAGTCTAAAATTTGCACAATTTAAATCAATATCAACAAAGCAGTTAACGTTAGAGAAGAACATAAGCCATGAATTCACTACAATATTTTTATAATCACACTACACCTGTTTACACACACCAACTGAATGCATAAGGGTAGGACCAACCAAAGTAATTCAAGAGCCAACACAATATGACAATCACAACCATAGGTTTCTATTACAATACAAAGCATGACACAAAATACAACCTCAATCTGAAGACAAAATTCGTCATAGAACCCACCTTTAATTCACAAAGAAAAGAGACGATAAGTCCTCTCGGCTCACACAGACAATCTCTACAAAAATCACCGTGCTTGTCATTACAAGAGCTGAATAATTGCAACACCCCCTCACCAATTCGACAATAGTTATTTATGCAGATAAATTTAAGCATAATTTCTTACCAAGAAAATAAAATTCAATAATAAAAGTTAATACTAACCCAATAATTATAAGACATATGCTGGAAAGATTTTTTGAATAGAAAGAGAAAAAAAAACACGAACTCAACACACACGAACACAAAAATTCTATATTGTACCTGTTTGGAACATTCCATGGCTTGGTCAGTTTCATAGGCCGTCTTCATTCCAACATCAATAAGCTCCGGGTTTGAGATTTCTATATCTATATAAGAAAAATTAGCAAGATATAAGGTTGAAAAGAAGGTCCACCACCACCAGACAAAATTCTAACTTTATTACAGGCTCTAATATTAAATGATGAAATGAGATTTTCAAGTGACAGAACAAAGTGGTTTATATGAAAGAGATGAGGTAAATGCCATGTGAGGTGGTTCTATGGGAGAACTAAGATATTTATGATGGTGTCTAATCTTCCATTTATGTTGTGGAAGTAAAGAACATCAAGGATTGAGTATTTAGAAAAAATATTAAAAAGANAAACACTTCACAACAAAGGGTTTAGGATTAATGTGTATGGTATCCCGGGATAACAATGTCTTTTTATTTTTCTTTCCCTTTTATGAGATCTAAATAATCGAATGTAATAAAGAAACGATTAATATGAAACACCACCTGATGCCAGTCGGAAATTCTCATCAGCTTGTGAATCATAAGGACCATTTCCCATGGCAAAAAGTTCAACCCTCTTACCCCCGAGATTGTTCATGTAGCTAACAACCCACTAACATGAACAACACAGAAGTAAGAACAAACTAAGGAAAAACTCTCACTTTGTTACATTTTTTCACAAATTTTGCTTGTAATTAACAGCGAATCATATATATAAAAAAGCAGCTTCTGAATAACATATAAGATATTAGTTGTAACAACCAACATATTATAACATATACAAACACACGGGCAACAAAATGTAGACAAACTATAAGAAAGAACTTACCTCTTTCTTAAAGCTACATATGAGTTCAACTCTGTTATCTGCACATAGGCCAAGTCACCCAAAAAAGAAAAGATTAGTGAAAAATATAAGTACAAAAACAGCTACAGTGTATTGGTGTTCTTCCTCAGGTCACCAAGGAGTTCGAGTTCTGTGTATTTCATATGGATTCCATTCTGTATATAGAAAGTATACGATAGATAATAGAATATCTAGAAACCGATTGTGACTATATACATTGCCCATCCAGCAATTTATACCTATATGGTTCATAGTGTGTGCATAATATGATTGGTACAGGAGCGAAATGCAAAAATAATTTTATTAAGGGATAATAAATATCTGCTATAGCAGCCAAAGAGATAACTCAACTTCTAAGTTACTATGAGCTGCTGGCAGCAAAGGAATTCAAAGTCCACAGACCAACCTTAATTAGGAAGGGTGATAATATCCAAAAAAAAAAATTAAAAAAAATATGCAAGGAGACTACATTAAAACTCAGACACACATCAAACCAGTGGAGCTATTATCCAATTTACAATAATACTTCAATAAAGAATTCAGTGGAGAGCGCATGAAAGGGAAGGGCAATAGAATTACCTAACGAACAGATGGAATATATGCGATGCGCCAGCACATGAAACCACAGAGAAACACCAGACCAACAATTCCCAGTCCTGTCGATCTAGCTCCCTGAAAAAAGAAGGAAGGGTATATTCGCAGTGCATGAGCCAAAAAACACAAATATGAAAACCCCATAACCAAATTCTTGAAACCTCTAAAAAGAACGAACATCCATAGGCCACATGAAATACCTAAGACTGCTTCAAAACGCGACCCTCGAACCGCATCCCCGGGCTCATTAGCAAGCAGTTGCGTGGCCGGAGATGTTCCTAAAAGCTTTAACCTAATTTTCTCAGAAAAAGTTTTCCCAAGCAAAATTAGCTCAAAAAACATCAAAATGGAGGCGGAAAAAACATCGATTCCAAAGGACAACTTATTCCGCCTCCAAATGATAACGAACAAAATCAAATATATGAAGCCATCAACGCTTATGAAATTATTCACAAACTATAAGAATCTAAGAGCTACAAAACATGATAACTAACGAAGACAAAAAATAGCCTGTCACCTGCTTCATACTGGAGAGTCTTTGAGTTAAAGTTGATATCAAAATCGACTCCCCGGAAATTTATTGCAGCTCTATTGTAAGCTCTGATGCCACGCAAAATAGATAAACTTATCAATCAAGAGTTTCATCAAACTAATCGCACTCTGAAACATAAACAAATTGGAAAATAAAATCTGACCTAGCTACTGAAAGACCAGTGTAAAATCCACCTAAACAGAAATCCACACCAAACAATATTGACCTCAAAGAATGGAAGGAAATGCATCTAAATCAAAATTCAACAATCCAAATCAGTCATATGTTGTACCCAAAATTGCTCCTGACTCAAGGCGGTGTCGAGCGACTCCAGTTGCAAAGACCATTTGTAAAAGATAGCTGTCTCGGTATCTATGAGCTGTCATTTTTTTCTCGAGTACACTTTCTGAACCCTCTTTTGTAGGTAACATCTGTAGAATCTTTTTCTGAGTTGGAATCAAAGTGATGTATTAAACAGTAAGAAATAAAATAATAGCTTGACATGGTCTCAATAATATTAGGACCCAAACACGCACACACACTTATCCTTTCATCATCATCATCATCATCATCATCATAATAATAATAATAATAATAATAATAATAATAATAATAATAATAATAATACCCTAATTCTGAGTGAACAAAATGTAAATCAAATTGGGGGTAGAAAAGTACTCCCAAGTTACAACAACCTAGGCGGTATTGTCCGTCTCCATGGGATCAGTAAGCGTCGGGTTCCTGATCGTCTTGACCGCACAAAACCACCAACCCCTTGTGCACGTGTCCCCGAGCACCATGATTGTGGCAGTGGCAATGCCGTCGGAGCTGCCGTTCCAGAACTTCCCAATGTTGGGGCACTGCGCTTCCTCGCAGACGGTGTTGAGCTTCAGCCTGGAGAGCGACTTCTTCACCTTCTCGTAACCAAAAGAAAAAGCAGAAACACACAATTTCATCTTTTATCTTATATTGACATCCAACCTAGTTCTTTTTTTAACGTTCTCAACATCTATGATCAACAAAAATAGATTTTTAAAGCTAACAGTATCACAAGTCAGTTCCTATAGCATTCCCCTCAAATAGTATAATAAGGCACTATATGCTAAGTGAAAATTTAGTCAGGCTTACCTCTATCCATTGGTAGTGTGAACATTACCGATGAGAGATGTTTAATGGGCGCATAGACTCCACCATGTTCATCCGCATGCTGAATAGCACCAAGGCCGTCAACCAGATCCAAAAATAGCTCAATGACTTCAATCAAGCCTTAATCAACTTTGCCTCTGAAGTCCAGCAGCGCCCTACATTATCTGAACTACCAACCCAAATAAATAATAAATACAAAATAAATTAACTGAAAAATGAAGTCAAAAGAAAAGGAAAGACCCGACTTAAACCAATTTAGCGAACCTTAATTGTCAAAATCCACCTCACAACTGCACCTTGCTGGAACCATCCACCTTGTATAACACCCTGTGGATGTTATAGTTCGCAAGGGTGCGACCATACACCACTGATGGCTGGACGACGTGGCTTTTTGAACTGGTCCAGTAGCTCGACTGCGTCCTGGGTCTCATGGACATGATGAGTAGCTGGAGGTCAAGTTAGACAGATCGAGAACAACAAAGATCGTCAATTTCAAAAGCACAAACGGACAGGTTTAGGTACACCAAATCATTGAGAATATGGAGCACTTTCTTGATTCATGCACCTCCAACACTGTTGTGAGCCAAATTCAGTTTCTTCCTGTAACGAAGCTCGGTTGTCGAGTTCTTGAGCCTACAGGATATCATCTCCTCTTTGTTAAGCATGATTTTCAAAGGCGTAATCTCCATTTGATCAATCACAGGCGAACTCAAAATATGAATTGATATAAAAGTGTCCGAAATGTGTTTCGATAATAGATTAAAATTCAATAAGAACATTAATAATTCACCATTTTACAATTGAGCTGATGCGTTTGAAAGCATTTTAAATGATATCCCTGTTTTTCACTTTTTACTGGGAGCATGAGGCGTCGGAACTTGCTATCGCTGATATAATAGCTATGAATATTTTGTCTTCATATACAAGGTTAAAAAAGTTAAGTGGGTGCCACCGCCACTGCACATGTTGTAATATGTTTGGCGATAAGCGTCAGAACTTCATGCATAAAATTATTGTTATGAAATATGGAGGATATTAGGGCCAACCTATGTTCCAAATGAAAGGGTGGGTAGCTCAAATTTACCAAGTAATGAAACTTGTTAAATATTAAGGGGAAGCATATATACCAGCAACTTCTTTTCCCGTCATTGCATCCATAACAAGCAAACTTCTGTGGGATTTAATACTCTTTTGACGTCTATCAGTTCATCCATTATTGCTTTATCTATCTAATAAGAACGATAAACCATTTCTTGGTTTTATGTTTAACTAAAGACTTTTCCAAAGCTGTATGCTCACTCCCAATGCCATGTAACAAGTAACCTTACAGCTCACCTTAAGTCTTCCAGCAGTGTCCATTATGACTACATCAACATTCTTTTTCTTGGCCTCTTGCAACCCCTGGTTTGCTATATCTGTAGGTTTAACCTCATTTGCTGCCGTGAAAACAGGCTCGCCAACCTGCTTACACCGTTTAAGTGAGAAATGTACAAGGTCAAGAACATCAAGAGAAAGGTAAGGGAGAACCTACCAATGTGACTATGTGAGGCCATTTATTCATATAGACAACCTATTTTAACATGACAAAATACTTCTCTAGTTCATCAAGAAGTACACCACAGATTTTAGACAATCACATCATCCTTATGCCTCCTAGTATCTAATATCACTAACACAGTGAACATGTCTTATAATAAACATTCCAGCCAACGAAAAGCTTGATAATTGAGAAAACAGCCTTTTAGGTCTTTTTAAGAGAAATTCAATGTGGCCGTCCTTAATAACTCCAATACTCCAGTAAACATGCTACTCTTATTCTACCTTCTTAAGAATCTCAAGTATAATTAATAAATGCAACCAAACAATTCAATTGCAGAATGTGATTTTCTGTAGTTAGGGCGCAACTTCACTCCTTCAATTTACCTGACTCACTAATTGAACTCGAAATTGTAGTCACTGTATCGTTGTTGGTCGTGCCGCCACCTCACTACTCCCGATCTCCTGTCACACTTGCCGTGCCTCCGCCTCACCGCTTCTCGCACTCTTTCGCCGCTCGCCTTTCACCATTTGTCGTCGCACCGCCATGCCTTTCACCACTCGCCGGTCCCGCGTTGTGCCAGCGCCTCGCCGCCGCCATTAGGTTTCTGAATTTTGCCGACAAGAGTTGAGAAAGAGAGAGAGATAGAGAGGTTAGGGTTCTGTAACTCGTCTCTTTTTGGGAAAGAAAATATGAAGCTGCGAGTGATTTCCGAGAAAGTAGAAAAGGTACAAGGAAGCAAAATTATTGAAGCAGATTTTTTGCGCGATCTCCGGATGAAAAGTTGTAGAAATCTNATTATTCCAATAAGATCGTTGAGTGATAAAAATAGTTGTGATAAAAATAGAGAAAAATTATCATAGAGATAATTTTATTACTATTTTTAAGTGCTCAATTCTCGACTCCGTTCCAGTTCGCCGGAGCTCGTAAATCTGGTGTGCTACAGATTTAGAGACGTTTGCCGTTGTATCTTTGGGGAAGTTACGCCTGAACCGTTAGCTGACACACGGGGCGTATTCTTCTTGCGGAAAGAGTTTTACTCGCCTCGGCTTTAATCTTTCTGTTTTGTTTTTTAAGTTTTTAATTTATTTTCAGTTGTAATTTAATTTTTCAGTTCAATTGTAATTTTCTATTTTTAGATTATTTGTAAGAACTGAAAAATAAATATCAGTTCGTAGGATTCCCGTGTAATTTTATACTACCGATTTAACAATCGCAAGAAGAATATCTCAACCTACTGGACTGATGGCTTCCGCCGGAAATGGTTCCAACACTCAGCCTCCGATCAATCATGTACCTGCTGTCCATGTCCCTACTGCTGATAAGCCCGAAAAATTCAATGGGCTTGATTTTAAAAGGTGGCAACAAAAGATGCATTTTTACCAGACCACTTTGGGTTTGGTGAAATACCTGAAGGACGACCCCCCGGTTATTGCTGAAAATGAGACCAATGCTGAACTACGCACTGCGTACGAAGCTTGGGGGCAAGGTGATTACTTTTGCCGTAACTATGTCCTGAACGGACTTAGTAATGAGTTGTACAATGTGTACAGCTCGGTTGGTTCTGCCAAAGAGCTTTGGGCTGCTTTGGAGAAGAAGTACAAGACTGAGGATGCCGGGGCGAAGAAATTCGTCGTCGGCAAGTTTCTTGACTTCAAGATGGTCGACTCTAAGACCGTCGTGTCCCAAGTGCAAGAGTTTCAACTTATCTTGCACGATATCCATGCTGAAGGAATGTCTCTAAGCGAGTCATTCCAAGTTGCGGCTGTGATTGAAAAGCTGCCGCCGGGTTGGAAAGACTTCAAGAACTACCTCAAACATAAGAGGAAGGAAATGAGTCTTGAAGACTTGATTGTTCGTCTTCGTATTGAGGAGGACAATCGTAATTCATCGGGAAAAATTCCGATGATGGAGGCTCGTGCTAACTTGATAGAGCAAGGGAACTCGAGCAAGAGGAAGTCCATAGACAAAGGGAAGCAGCCTGCCAAGGTTTGGAAGTTTACCGGAACTTGTTATAATTGTGGAAAGCCGAACCATATGGCTAAAGACTGCAAGAGGCCAAAGAAGGCTGGGCCAAAGAAAGCTAAACCGAGTGCTCTTGTTGCTGAACACGGCCCTGTGCCGGGTGAACTGACCGACTTTGATATGTCGGCTGTGGTGTTTGAAGCCAATATGGTGGATAACCCAAGGGAGTGGTACATCGATACTGGTGCCACTCGTCATGTGTGTTCCGATAAGGAGGTGTTCTCTGAATACACTTCTGCTAAGAGTCGGAAACTTTACATGGCAAACTCCGCCACGGCTGATGTGGCTGGAGTGGGCACTGTGGTGCTGAAGCTGACTTCTGGAAAGGAGTTGAAGCTTAAGGATGTTCTGCATGTCCCAGACATCCGCAAGAATTTGGTCTCCGGATCTCTTCTTGTTGAGCATGGATTTAGGCTAGTATTTGATGCTAAGAAATTTGTTCTTAGTAAGTTTGGAACTTTTCTTGGTCGTGGCTATCTCGACAAGGGTATGTTTAAAATGAATGTAATGGCCGTGAGCCGTGTAACCGTTTTAAATGATAATGAAAAGCCTATTTCTGTTTATACCGTTGAGTACTCTAATTTATGGCATATTAGATTGGGGCATGTAAATCTAAATGCAATTAAACGGTTGATGAATTTGGAATTAATTCCTAATTCTAAAATTGAATCACATAAGAAATGTGAGATTTGTATTGAAGCAAAAATGGCTAAGTTGCCTTTTCACTCGGTGGAAAGATGTACTGAACCATTAGGTTTAATCCATACTGATGTATGTGATATGAAAAGTGTGCAAACAAGAACGGGTAAAAAGTATTTTATTACTTTTATCGATGATTGCACAAGGTTTTGCTACTTATATTTATTAAGAAGCAAAGACGAGGCTGTGGAAGCATTTAAAATCTATAAGACCGAAGTTGAAAATCAACTCGGCAAAAGGATTAAAATAATCCGAAGTGATAGGGGTGGGGAGTATGTAGCTCCTTTTGAACAAATATGTTCCGAATATGGCATAATTCATCAAACGACNCCATTTGTAAAAGATAGCTGTCTCGGTATCTATGAGCTGTCATTTTTTTCTCGAGTACACTTTCTGAACCCTCTTTTGTAGGTAACATCTGTAGAATCTTTTTCTGAGTTGGAATCAAAGTGATGTATTAAACAGTAAGAAATAAAATAATAGCTTGACATGGTCTCAATAATATTAGGACCCAAACACGCACACACACTTATCCTTTCATCATCATCATCATCATCATCATCATAATAATAATAATAATAATAATAATAATAATAATAATAATAATAATAATACCCTAATTCTGAGTGAACAAAATGTAAATCAAATTGGGGGTAGAAAAGTACTCCCAAGTTACAACAACCTAGGCGGTATTGTCCGTCTCCATGGGATCAGTAAGCGTCGGGTTCCTGATCGTCTTGACCGCACAAAACCACCAACCCCTTGTGCACGTGTCCCCGAGCACCATGATTGTGGCAGTGGCAATGCCGTCGGAGCTGCCGTTCCAGAACTTCCCAATGTTGGGGCACTGCGCTTCCTCGCAGACGGTGTTGAGCTTCAGCCTGGAGAGCGACTTCTTCACCTTCTCGTAACCAAAAGAAAAAGCAGAAACACACAATTTCATCTTTTATCTTATATTGACATCCAACCTAGTTCTTTTTTTAACGTTCTCAACATCTATGATCAACAAAAATAGATTTTTAAAGCTAACAGTATCACAAGTCAGTTCCTATAGCATTCCCCTCAAATAGTATAATAAGGCACTATATGCTAAGTGAAAATTTAGTCAGGCTTACCTCTATCCATTGGTAGTGTGAACATTACCGATGAGAGATGTTTAATGGGCGCATAGACTCCACCATGTTCATCCGCATGCTGAATAGCACCAAGGCCGTCAACCAGATCCAAAAATAGCTCAATGACTTCAATCAAGCCTTAATCAACTTTGCCTCTGAAGTCCAGCAGCGCCCTACATTATCTGAACTACCAACCCAAATAAATAATAAATACAAAATAAATTAACTGAAAAATGAAGTCAAAAGAAAAGGAAAGACCCGACTTAAACCAATTTAGCGAACCTTAATTGTCAAAATCCACCTCACAACTGCACCTTGCTGGAACCATCCACCTTGTATAACACCCTGTGGATGTTATAGTTCGCAAGGGTGCGACCATACACCACTGATGGCTGGACGACGTGGCTTTTTGAACTGGTCCAGTAGCTCGACTGCGTCCTGGGTCTCATGGACATGATGAGTAGCTGGAGGTCAAGTTAGACAGATCGAGAACAACAAAGATCGTCAATTTCAAAAGCACAAACGGACAGGTTTAGGTACACCAAATCATTGAGAATATGGAGCACTTTCTTGATTCATGCACCTCCAACACTGTTGTGAGCCAAATTCAGTTTCTTCCTGTAACGAAGCTCGGTTGTCGAGTTCTTGAGCCTACAGGATATCATCTCCTCTTTGTTAAGCATGATTTTCAAAGGCGTAATCTCCATTTGATCAATCACAGGCGAACTCAAAATATGAATTGATATAAAAGTGTCCGAAATGTGTTTCGATAATAGATTAAAATTCAATAAGAACATTAATAATTCACCATTTTACAATTGAGCTGATGCGTTTGAAAGCATTTTAAATGATATCCCTGTTTTTCACTTTTTACTGGGAGCATGAGGCGTCGGAACTTGCTATCGCTGATATAATAGCTATGAATATTTTGTCTTCATATACAAGGTTAAAAAAGTTAAGTGGGTGCCACCGCCACTGCACATGTTGTAATATGTTTGGCGATAAGCGTCAGAACTTCATGCATAAAATTATTGTTATGAAATATGGAGGATATTAGGGCCAACCTATGTTCCAAATGAAAGGGTGGGTAGCTCAAATTTACCAAGTAATGAAACTTGTTAAATATTAAGGGGAAGCATATATACCAGCAACTTCTTTTCCCGTCATTGCATCCATAACAAGCAAACTTCTGTGGGATTTAATACTCTTTTGACGTCTATCAGTTCATCCATTATTGCTTTATCTATCTAATAAGAACGATAAACCATTTCTTGGTTTTATGTTTAACTAAAGACTTTTCCAAAGCTGTATGCTCACTCCCAATGCCATGTAACAAGTAACCTTACAGCTCACCTTAAGTCTTCCAGCAGTGTCCATTATGACTACATCAACATTCTTTTTCTTGGCCTCTTGCAACCCCTGGTTTGCTATATCTGTAGGTTTAACCTCATTTGCTGCCGTGAAAACAGGCTCGCCAACCTGCTTACACCGTTTAAGTGAGAAATGTACAAGGTCAAGAACATCAAGAGAAAGGTAAGGGAGAACCTACCAATGTGACTATGTGAGGCCATTTATTCATATAGACAACCTATTTTAACATGACAAAATACTTCTCTAGTTCATCAAGAAGTACACCACAGATTTTAGACAATCACATCATCCTTATGCCTCCTAGTATCTAATATCACTAACACAGTGAACATGTCTTATAATAAACATTCCAGCCAACGAAAAGCTTGATAATTGAGAAAACAGCCTTTTAGGTCTTTTTAAGAGAAATTCAATGTGGCCGTCCTTAATAACTCCAATACTCCAGTAAACATGCTACTCTTATTCTACCTTCTTAAGAATCTCAAGTATAATTAATAAATGCAACCAAACAATTCAATTGCAGAATGTGATTTTCTGTAGTTAGGGCGCAACTTCACTCCTTCAATTTACCTGACTCACTAATTGAACTCGAAATTGTAGTCACTGTATCGTTGTTGGTCGTGCCGCCACCTCACTACTCCCGATCTCCTGTCACACTTGCCGTGCCTCCGCCTCACCGCTTCTCGCACTCTTTCGCCGCTCGCCTTTCACCATTTGTCGTCGCACCGCCATGCCTTTCACCACTCGCCGGTCCCGCGTTGTGCCAGCGCCTCGCCGCCGCCATTAGGTTTCTGAATTTTGCCGACAAGAGTTGAGAAAGAGAGAGAGATAGAGAGGTTAGGGTTCTGTAACTCGTCTCTTTTTGGGAAAGAAAATATGAAGCTGCGAGTGATTTCCGAGAAAGTAGAAAAGGTACAAGGAAGCAAAATTATTGAAGCAGATTTTTTGCGCGATCTCCGGATGAAAAGTTGTAGAAATCTGCTGAAATCGAGGAACACGCAACAAAGAAAGACACGTAAATTCACCTATACACCCCTCAAAAAGTTGAATGGAGAAGGACATTTCAGCCAAAACACTTACAAATACAAAGTAGATCTAAATTACCTGAGTGACCCTCAAAATTAGTTAAAAATATCGCATTTGTCTTTCTTCAAGCAAGGACATTTCAGTAATTGGTTGAAAAAATTGCCAAATGTCAACGTAATAAAGAAGCCACTTGTCGCCATATAAGGGATTTCACTTCTTCATATATAGATAAGAGAGATATATATATATAGTAGAGATAGAGATATAAAAAGGTTTATATCAACAGTAACTATTTCCCTCCAAAAAAAATCTATTTACTATTTTAAGAAAATTAATTTAACAATTTATGGTATATATCAAATAATTACTTATGGAAATTGTGGGTCATTATTTATGGAAGTATGACCAATTTATGGTATATATCAAATAATCGCTTATGAAAATTGCGGCTCATTATTTAAGGAAGTAACTGAGCTATATTTTAAGATAACTTAAATACTTAAATCATGTGATTTAATTAATATATGGTATAAAGTGGACAAATTTATTTTTGGTATTGATGGTTGTTTCTCTGGGAAATATATTAATCAATATATGGTATAAAGTGAACAAATTTATTTAGATTGTTTGATGACTGTTTTTTGTTAGGAAATTTGTTGAAAAATTAATCAATACATAGTGCATTTTTTGGCCAATATATTGGTTTTTAGGCGCGTATTTCAATTTTTATTTCAATCTTTCGTATGAAATTAACATAATAAATTTACCGTAACTCCGACAAAATAATATGAACAGATATTTTGATATAATGTGCGTGCATCGATGTTTTTTATAGAAAGAGCTCTGGTCAATTTTTTTTGTATAATTAGTTGGTCTCGATTTAATTCATTTTTTGTTACGACATTTCAAATAATTTTTGTGTGAAATGCATTATTCATTTTTTTAGCATGATACTGTTGATTTTTTTGGCATAAAAAATCTTATGACTGGTTGTTTTTACTTAACTATTTAAATTTTTTGATTTGGATATTTTATACAAAAATATATTCATTTTAATTAATGAAAAAATATAAGTTTTATATTTATACTTATTATTCACATAGGTTTTTAAATATATAATAAAATTTTACAAAAATAATTATTTTATGGAATATAAACATTTTCAAATGACACATGGTTTGAAATGAATATAATGTAATATATTATCGGTTATATGCAACGCACGAGTTATGCACTAATTTTAAATATATATATATATATATATTTTTATGTAATTTTGCACAATTTAAAATTTATATAACATTTTCAATGTACAGGTACATTGTATTACATATTGATTCCATGTTTTTAAATTATAAATATTATTTAATGAGAATTTTTAATTTTTAAATATTAATGAATATCTCTTACCCGTGCATCACACGGGATTCGTACTAGTTAATAATGTAAAAAGTAACTATTTTCACTCACTCTTTGTTCCTCCTTCCATTTATCTTTTCCCATCCCCTCACAAATCCCACACTCAAGGGCATTTCTGGATTTCCAATTTTTAAATTTCAACCGTCTCAAAAGCCCGCCATTGCAGACCTCTCTCTCTCTCTCTCTCCCCCCAGAGTAGCATTCATGGAATCTCCGGCCCGAACCTTCTCAGTGCTCATCGCAATCCTGCTACTCAGCCCAATAGCAGCCCTAGAATACCCTCAAGAATCCGTGAACAAATTATATCCCCACCTCATGAGCAACGCTAACGGCATTTCTCCGGCCCCTAATCCCCAACCTCGGGCTCCCGCGCTGTTTGTTATTGGGGATTCTTCAGTTGACTGCGGCACCAACAACTTCCTTGGGACTTTTGCCCGGGCCGACCGGCCGCCGTACGGCAGGGATTTCGACACGGGTCAGCCCACGGGCCGATTTTGCAATGGGAGAATCCCCGTCGATTTTATCGGTAAAAGATCTGTCTTTTCTTTTAGGGTTTTGTTTGAAAAGGGGGAAATTGGCTCTTGAAGGTGCTTCGTTCTTTTGGTTGTTCTTGGGTGTGATTGTGGATTCCTGGTCTTTCTGATTGATGTTTCTCGTGGTGAAAAAGAGGGATTCTTGGATGCAGTTTGGTTTATTTAACCCTTGATTTTCTTGTTATTTATTTCGGTATTTTTTTTCTTCTAAATGAGTGTTTTTAAACAGCACTGGAACTTGGGCTGCCATTTGTACCGAGCTATCTTGGGCAGTCGGGCTCAGTCAATGATATGATTCGAGGGGTGAACTATGCTTCTGCTGGTGCAGGCATAATCTTTTCAAGTGGATCTGAATTGGTAGGGTATTTCCTCTCAATATTGTGTATTTAACAGTCTAAATTAGCCATAAGTCATCATTAAAGTTGTGATTCTTTCTCATGCTTCGTTATTTGTTCGTTTTGATTTTATATTCGCAGTTACAAGTCACTGGTCAGTGCATAATTATGTTACTATGGTATCTGTCCTAAGATGTCAAAATCTTGAATGAATATTTCTACTTTAATTTGAATGTTTCATATTACGGTATAAACAATTTTATATGTAACTCGGCCTCATAAGTATACCGTCCCACCTCAAAAGTTTGTCTTCTACTTCAATATTTCGGATTTGAATTGCACTAAACAAATCTGATTTCTTGTACTTAAATAGCAAAGCTTTGGGTGTTTGAATACTGATATTCTGGTTCCTACGCAACACTTTTGATCCTGTTTAGGAGAAAACAAAATGTGAAAATGAATATTTCTGCTGTAATTTTGTTCCTATTGGAGCTTATGCTGATATTTTATACAGGGACAACATATCTCTCTTTCTCAGCAAATGCAGCAGGTTATGGACACATTTCAACTGTTTATTCTCAGCATGGGAGAGGATGCTGCTTATGGTCTTATTTCAAATTCCATATTCTATATTTCAATCGGGAGCAATGACTTCATACACTACTATCTACGAAATGCATCTAATGTGCAGTCCTTGTATCTGCCTTGGAGATTCAATCAATTCTTAGCTCAGACAATGAAGCTTGAGATTCAGGTTATTAATCCATGTACTTTCAGCATTTCATACTTCTTTTTTCGAAGCATGTGATTTTTTAAGAAATAAGATCTGTTTAGATTTTTTTATCATTTTTCAATATGCTATTTGCACAACAGTTTTAGTGCATAAAACATGTGTTGATTTCAATAACTACATTTGAGGTTAGCCTTATTCATTTTTTTTAGTTTTTTTAAATTTTCAAATACCCCCTGACATCAGTATTTAAATCTCTGTTTTCCTTCTTTAGAGGGAATGGATGTCATAATAGTGGGTATAGAAAACAAGGTTTTTTTTTTGGTTTATTAGGCAACCTTGAAAGGTAATTTATAATTTATCCATAAAAGCAAATCTGTTGACTTTCAAGGAAACATATGTTTATATATCTAGGTAATATTATTTGTTCTGAAATATTGTAAGCCTATATCTATCTGGCAGAACCTGTACAATGCGAATGTTCGAAATGTGGTTGTAATGGGATTGGCTCCTTTGGGGTGCGCCCCTTACTACTTGTGGTTGTATCAGAGCAAAACTGGGCAGTGCATAGAGACGATAAACGACATGATACTTGAGTTCAATTTCGCCATGAGGTTCATGGTTGAGGAGCTTAATCGAAAACTCCTTGATGCCAACATAATATTTTGCGACGCTTTAGAAGGCTCCATGGACATAATAAAGAATCACAACCGTTATGGTGAAAAATCTTGCTCATCGATTCTTCGTTCGTTTTCAAATAATTGCAAAACTGCCCTTGATGATTGATCAAATTAGTAAATGAACCCTTTTATTTTCAATAGTATTAACACGTCCTTGAGTTGTGCTTTTATTATTCGACTCGCTCCCGTGAGGAGAGGAAATTGGATAACAAATACAAAACTCGAGGCTTTCATACATCTAAAAGATAACTGGACTTTTCTGCAATTACACTAGACCTCTGGGGTCATTTGGCAATAATTTTTCTGATGGCATATTTATGTTCAGGGATTTAACGTCACAACGGATGCTTGCTGTGGCTTAGGCATGTACAGGGGTTGGATTATGTGCATTTCTCCAGATATGGCTTGCAATAATGCTTCGAGTCATATATGGTGGGACCAGTTTCATCCAACTCACGCTGTTAACGAAATTCTTGCTGATAATGTATGGTCCAGCAGGCACACGAGCATGTGCTACCCCATGAATTTGCAGGAATTGATAGCTCAGAACGCAAAAAATAATTCCAGAGAAAAACGGGTATGGTAAAAAACTGCACATTCATTGTATGAGGCTTGCAATTTGTTTTGTGGATCGGTGGTAGGTGAAATAACTATGTAATTGTGAAGCATTCTGGCATTTGTATAGATAGAACTTGACAACTTGTCATATCATGTGTATACAGTTTTCATGTCGTGCAGTTTGTTAGAACTCAATGAGGTGTAACAGAATTTGTCGTCGTTTGCTTGAATGAAATCCTGAAATTCTTTCTTTAAGAAAATGTTTGAACACCTGATGATGATAATTTGACCTCAAACATTATGTCAACTATTCTAGTAATTTTACAGCCCATCACTAAATAAACAAGCAGACAAATCACAAATTTCATTCATGGATATATATAAAAAGGATCATGTTTACAATTTGTTGCCAGCAACAAAAAACACAACTAGCACAATGCACAACACAGCAAATATAGTATACATAGTCCTAACTTTGCAACACAACATTATACAATTGATTCAATGCAGTTCGACAAGGCCCTGATAAATGCAGGACATGGGTGAAAAAATACCAACTTTTACGTCGACAAATCTCAAATCTATCTTTCTACAAATAGCTTCTCTAAGTTTGTTCTTGATTTCAACAGACCAACTCCGAATCTGGAACTTCAGTTTCCATTACAAAGCTTGGAAATGCTAGAGTAATCTCCCTGAAACATTGTAACCTTATCAGAATAGATGAAGTACAGGGAAAAACTATGAAAAAAAAAATAAAATGAATAATTAAAATTTGCATTTGGCTGGGAAAAAAGAAATGCTGATTTTTATGCATAAACTGAAAAGAAAGAGGAACTTTTAAGTTGTTTGATTTTGTTTCTTGAATGATTTTGCCAGCAAAACAAGCTGGTAAGGACTCCGGTGAAAAAATATTTACCGTATATGTAAATGCCTAATGGTTGAGGTGATTGAAAAATTAAATGTTGCGTTCTTTAAGACACTCATCGAACCTTAGATAAGGCAGAGTCATGTTCTTTATTAGAGAAGGATACTTTGCAACCAACTCTTTCCACTCATCTAAATCTATTTTCCCATCTCCATTTAAGTCTGCCTCTTCAAGTGTCTGTCCAAAAAACAGCACACAAAAAAGTTAGCACTTTATTTTTAGTGAGTAAGAGACAGGAAAGGATAGAACAATTATTTTAGCATCCCTACCTTGTTAACTATAGCTTCAATATCTTCATCTGAAATTGACAGTTCTGATTCACTCAGAGTAGCCATTACCATTTCCTTCAGCTGGAAAGTTGAAGCAAACAGTAACTTGTGAGATGAAGATTTCAAGGCTTCTTAAACATATCGATAGCATCGATGACTCTTGATATAAAGCACAGCAATTTCTTTAGAGTTCAAGATAATTATCTTCTGAAATTCTAAATGCTAAACATTGACATTTGTTGTGATTAGGCTACAACTCATAAGTGGTTCTCATAATTATGCTTTTTCTTGAGGTTAGCTATGATTCAAATAGTTGAGAGACGACGAGAGCTAATAGGCATTGACCTCTTCTCGTTCTATGTAGCCAGTGTGCCTGAGGTCATACATTCTGAATGCAACTGCAAAAATCCTTCTTGATTAAGCATTTCCTCACAACACATAATCACTATTATTAACTGGGAGATGGAATTATTATCACTCACATTCTATTTTATCTGCCTGTGGTGTATCAGGATGAAAAACATTCAATGACCGAACGAATTCACCGAATCCAATCACCCCATTTCTCTTAATATCAAACAGCTCAAACAACTGCACCATAATGTTGCTTTCAAATTTTCTGTTGACAAGTGCCCCCAAAAAAAGGAGAGAAAAAAAGAATCCAAAAAAAAAAAGATTGTTCTACAATAATTGCTATTTCGTGATATGAATTACCAAACAACAGAATTAATTATGAAAAATTAACGCAATACGAGATACAAACCCGTTCAGCTAGGATATTCTTCTTGCTGCTGCAATTGAAAAGTGCAAGCAAGAATTCCTCCTGAAAACCAAAGGGTAGCCACGGAATTAATCAAACGGTGACGAATAATGCAAGAGTCATTCAGATGCGATTGCAAGTGTTTTGAGATACGAGAATATTCCAAAGGCAAAGGTACCTTATGAATTGTTTGACCATCGTCAACTATGGAACTGCTTAGCTGCTCAAACAAGATGTATAGAGCCTCTACTTCATTTATGTTAACTGCAGTGCAAAACCAAGTTTCAATTTTCATATATTTTCAGATCAAGCAGAAAAGAAACAGATTCTTTTTGGACAAGAATAAAAAAGCCGTATTCAGTGAATACGGTTTTTGAATTTTTTATTTGTAAAACGTATTCTGTGAATACGGTTTCCTTTGTAAAAAAAATGTAAAAAACGTATTTAAGGAATACGTTTTCTAATTAAATTACACAAAAAACGTATTCACTAAATACGTGCTTTCTATGTTGGTCCACTCCCCACCCCCTTTTGTTTTGTTTTTTGTCCACTTATTATTTTTTTATTAATAAAAAAATAAACTACCCGAAAGAAACAACCTAATTAGTTCAAGAATAAATTTAATTTTTTTCCACTCACAATTTGTTTCAGAAGCCAGAACTGCGTGCTCGACAAACCCAGGCGTCTGTTTGGCTTTTGACAAGCGAAAGCATTTGGCCAGTGAACGCATGATTTACTCGAGGTTTTACGAATTCAAACTGCAGGACACATGATGACATTTTTAAGAACATACTTATACAAAAGCAACATACAAATACGGAATAACAACTATGGGAGTTAAAAGGATCTAAAGAAATTATGAACTTTCTGCGATCTGCCTCCTGTATTTTGACTTTCAAGGAATGAACAGTGTTGCAATTCACCATAGTTTTCAACCTGAGAGCTGATTCTTATTTTATTTTTGAAATAATTACAACAGCTACTCCATCAGACTCAATGAATTATTTGGTACAATTTACACAAATAACAAAGCTCAATCATGTAGAAAAACATCATATATTAAATCAAATAACATAATACAAATACCCAACAATGAAGATTTTCCCTTGCCCATTTCCAGCCATGAAAATCAATCTCTATTATATACAAAATTCATATAACATAAAAGGTCCCCGTGTTTGTGTGAGGCAAAGAGATATGACAAAGATGAAAATGATGTCTAATAGACTAATTGTTGGAAATAAGGCAGAGAGAGATTACAGAGATGCAAATGAACTCACCAGGTTTAACTTTCTTCTTGCGGTGAAGGTGTTAATCTGTACAATGCTTTCCAAAGGAAGGGTCCATTTTTATAGAGGATTCTTAAGTCTTGTTATTCTTTTGCATTTTCAATTCTTTATTCAGTGGTCTGACTTTGTTCACCCCCTTCATTGTTCCTCTGCAGGCTCTTGTTGTTTTCCTATTTTTCTATTTCATTTAGTTACCTGGTTTGAAAATTGCCTTTTAGGGCCTTGAGAATATTCCAAGCACATGACAAAAAGCTTTTTCCAAATCATTTTGTGAAAGAAATTTGGAGAAAACGAGTGCGGTCCCACTATCATGAAGCGCACCATAAGCGGGGAAAGCTCATATGAAGCTCAAGTGAGGTTCCATCCCAAAACCAATTGGTGAAAGGAGGAGTAGCCCAAGTTAGACTTATAAAGTGGGTCTATTTTCAATGTATGAATGATATGGGACAACTCACAAGTGATATTGTAACATTTTGAAGACAAAGATCTTAGTTTTTATGAAAAAATGTCACTATAATGGGGCTTTCGGCATAAATTATAGTTAGAATCTCATCTAGTTAATAGCATAAAGGATGTTGCACTTTAAAAACACCAAACCCATTTTTTGCGTTAAAACACATATTTGCGTTTGAACAAATAGAGAGATACCAAAAATCTCATTTTGAGATTGCGTTTGGCGTTCGGTTGGACAATTTTACTCACTACTATGACTACTATGTTAGCCCAAGTCCAAACATTATATTATAGACCAGAAAACCAGCCCAGTGGTGTGTATTCTTTTCTCACAAGTCACAATTAAAGGCAACTATTATTATCATCTTGATTATGTCAGTAATGAATTATTGTTGGAGCCAAAGTGAAGTAAACATTAATGAAATTAAATAGTGTTACTTTTGGTCCAAAACCAAAACAATTAAAAAAACAAAAATAAATTGCTATGAAAGAGTCAAAGTCAACAAAATCGATATTATTAGTTAAATCATTAAAAATAGTTATATCCTGACCCAAAAAGGAAAATTTCCTCCCCCAAAAAAAAAGGAATTCGTGAGTGATAGTTTGTGAAAAAAATCTGTAGTTTTTGGAGTGGAAAATATATTCT